TAGATGGAAATTTTGTCAGATGTGCTATCCAAAATTTTTGGGTATAGCACCCAATGTGCCAATAATCACATTGGGACCACCACAACTGTTTTATGCCATAATCATTCAACTTTTTCAAATCTTGATCCTTCTCCAATTCTTTGTCTCCTATTCTACTGTCCCCTTGAATTGGTACATCAATTATCCATATTTTCTTCTTTGCAACCACTGTTAAATCTGATGTGTTATGAGCCAAGAGTCCTATCAGTTATCTTTGGAAATTCCACAATACTTATTAAAATTTATATACAGTAGCTACCCATCTCATATACGTTATTAACAGTTATACTGTGAATAATTGCAAAGTCCTATTACATGAATGACACAGAGGACATGAGGACAGAAAGAAGGACATGTCTTCCTAGAATTGAGTTTGTTGAATTGAGCTGCTCTAAAAATATAAGTAAAATAGCACTTAGCACTTAGAAATAGCACTTAGACTTATATACCGCTTCACAGTGTTTTACAGCTCTCTCTAAGGGCTTAATAAGGGCTTGAATGTTTTTTTTCCTATAAGACTTTGAGTAACATTTTCTCCCAATTGCTTTGCCTGCTGTTTAGTTTTTTGGGGCAGATGCTTATTGTTTTACCTTTCCTTTCTCACAATACGATCCTGAACACTCAAAATAGCAATAGCAATAGCACTTAGACTTATATACCACTTCACAGTGCTCTACAGCCCTCTCTAAGCGGTTTACAGAGTCAGCAGATTTTCCCCAACAATTGGGGTCCTCATTTTACCCACCTTGGAAAGATGGAAGGCTGAGTCCACCTTGAGCCTGGTGAGATTCGATCTGCCAAATTGCAGGAAGCTGGCAGTCAGCATTCTAACCACTGCGCCACCACGGCTCATAAAATAAATAAATATTTACCCAGAAGTAGGTCTCATTATTTCCGGTGAAACTGACTTTCATGTAAGCATGTAAACGGGTGTATCTATGTGTGATTTTCCTACATTCCTTTGCTTCTACTTCTGAAATTGTCTTTTCCCCCACTTGGCAGTAACAACTTGGCAAGCACTGGGCTTCTTTTCACCCACGTTTAAACAATTCCTTCAATTTTGAGGCAAATTAGCATAATGGGACTAAGTTTTGCTATTTATGTGAAATTGATTGGTAATTACCATGTGCACAGGAGGCTTGGCTTTGCACTTTGCAGCAGAATGACTTCTTTTGTCAACATGTTTTCCCAGCACGTCTGAAATGATCTGTGTACAAGCTGGTGCAGCAGGCTTTTAGGACGGAGGTGGGTAAATAGAGGCTGTGCCTTGACACATTCTTTGAGAGAAGCCATTGATTGCAGGCGGTGCAATCCACCGCCCGGCACAATTTTATTGTACCAGATTTATTGGCAGACTAAGCGCAGGAACCATTTTGTAGTTCTGGCTTTCGATCTGTGAGAAACGTCTCCCTCACAATTTGGGGTGAGGAAGAAAGAAGCAGCTTTCACTTACGTGGGCTCACTTCCCCAGTTCCTTCAAAGGTAGAACATCCTTCGCTCTTCCCTAAGAAATGTGGTGTCATTGCCTGATTTGACTGCTGTCATGATGCCACAACCACTGCAACATAATTTTTGAGCCTCGGTGGTGCAGTGGTTAGAGTGCAGTACTGCAGGCTACTTCTGCTGATTGCCGGCTGCCTGAAATTTGGCAGTTCAATTCTCACAGGTTGACTCAGCCTTCCATCCTTCAGAGGTGGTAAAATGAGGAACCAAATTGTTGGGGGCAATATGCTGACTCTGTAAACTACTTAGAGAGAGCTGTAGAGCACTGTAAAGCGGTATATACAGTAGTGGCCAAAATTGTGAAAACCTTTTGGGAAAAGTGTATTTTCTAAACCTAGTTAATAACACCTTTTTTTTTTTTTTGGAGTAGTACCGTAAAATTATAAAACACGTAGAAAAAATGAGATATACAAAAATTATCACCATAGAAAAAATGAGATATACAAAAATTATCACCATAGAAAAAACGAGATATACAAAAATTATCACATCACTTAATACTTAGTTGGGTAACCTTTAGCATGAATTATGGCCTTACAACCTCTTCCTATGGAGTGAACCATTATGTGTATTGCGGAAATTTAACTTTACAAAAAAAAATTATCTGCGGAGAACAAGAGAAAGAACCTGTTCTTTGAATAGATGGACAAGATGTACAACAGTTGACACATTGAAAAATAACCAAGCGCTTCCCTAACAAATGGAGATGCAGCATTTCAGATAATGTTCAGATGGATAGAAAATACCACATCAGTGGCAAAGATGCCTGAGTGCCTAAAGTTACTTATACATAATTGTTTATTAGAGCTCATCTCTAAATCTCTTAAAATTGGATGGCAGTAGCATAATAGCATAATAGGAGTAGATGATTATAATCTTCTTTTTTACAGTCCATAAAACTGTGGTTCCAATATGTTGCTAGGAAGCTCCAGTGCAATATAGATAGTGTTTGTTCAAGTCTTGCTTTTTTATGCTGGCCTTCTCCGGAGACTCAGGGCGGCTAACACTGCATTAAGCAATAGCCTTCATACTTTTGTATATTTATACAAAGTCAGTTTATTGCCCCCACAATCTGGGTCCTCATTTCACCTACCTTTGAAAGGATGGAAGGCTGAGTCAACCTTCAGCTGTGTTGCCTGATCGGCAGAGGCTTTTCAAAGCATTTTTTACATTTGATGAAAAAATGCTTTGAAAAGTTAAAAAAAAAAAGTTGGCCACGCCCACCCAGTCACATTACCCCCCCAGCCACGCCCACAGAACCAGTAGTAACAAATTTTACATTTCACCCCTGGTTAAATGTCAGTACAAGGGCTGACATTGTGGTGTAATGAAAATAATCTCACACTTAACACCACAAAAACTAAAGAACTTATAATTGACTTCAGGAGGAAGAGAGATGTACATTTACCATTGTACAAAAATGGTGAGGAGGTAGAGAGGGTGGGTAGTTTTAAATTTCTGGGCATTTATATCTCGAAGGACCTCTCATGGACTATGAATGCTAACATGCTTGTGAAGAAGGCACAGAAGAGGCTGTACTTCCTGAGAATGCTCAGGAAGATAAATCTATCTCAGCATCTACTTCTGTCCTACTATCACAGCACCATTGAGAGTGCTCTGACATACCGCATTCTTGCATGGTATGGGAGCAGCTCTGTAGCAGACAAAAAAGCTCTGCAGAGAATCATTAAAACTGCCCAGAATATCATCGGACTCCAACTACTAGCCCTGGACGACATCTTCGAATCTTGCTGTTTGAGAAAGTTGCATAACATTCTCAGAGACTCTTCCTATCCTGCTTACAATCTTTTTGGACTATTGCCTTCTGGCAGAAGATACAGAACAATTAAAACTTGGACCACATGTTTTCTGAATAGTTTTTATCCCAGAGCTATAATTGCACTCAACAATGAACTAAAGGGCCACCATCAGTGAGCTGTTGGACAGCATTACTTGGTCTGTTGTGTGGATGTTTGGGTGGTTCAGGGGTGGGGAATTGTGGTGGGTGGGAGTGTGTTTGGGGATTGTTATGTGCGTTGGACCTGGTCTTTGGGTGTTAAGTAAATTTCGTTATATGGGTATACTGTGTATACACGTACAATGACAATAAAGTTATTATTATTATTAAGGAATAACTGGGGCAATGGGCAACAGACAACAAGCCTGAATGCTGTTAAAGATGCAAAACCATTCTGATAATAAATTGATTGAAAGTAAAGAGATAGTGGGGTCTCATCAGGAAAGCTGACCTTTCTTGGAGATGTCTATTTCCAAATGAGTTCAATTTCTGACTACTAAGCCACATGTATGTCAGAGAAGCTCAAGATTCTGAATAGTTCCTAGAGGTAGGGATTCTTGCAATGTGGACTGGAGAATGACATCGCGAAAAGGGTGGTTTTGAGATTCCTTGTATTGAGATATGGAGAGGAGGAAGAAACAATGTGTCAGCCGGATCTCCAGCATGGGTTTCTGCTGCTGTAGAAATGGGGAGGAGGTATGGGTATTTGCGATGGGGAAGTGAGCTGGTGTGTAGTAGTCCCATGAGAACTGGAAGGGAGGTTTGTACTCATGAATTATGGCGCTGCTGAGTGGAGTTTATATTTTGTCAAGGCCAACCGTCCTGAGATTCCAGATTAGAGGTGGGTTTCAGCAGGTTCTAACCAGTTCTGGAGAACCGGTAGCAGAAATTTTGAATAGTTCAGAGAACCGGTAGTAAAAATTCTGACTATTCTCTGCCTCCCAATTCCCAGCTGATCAGGAGGAAATGGGGATTTTCCAGTAGCCTTCCCCTGGATTGGGGACAGAATGGAGATTTTACAGTATCCTTCCCCTGGAGTGGGGTGGGAATGGAGATCCTTCAGTATCCTTCCCCTGCCACGCCCACCAAGCCATGTCCACCAACCATGCCATGACCACCAAACCACGCCCACAGAACCGGTAGTAAAAAAAATTTGAAACCCACCACTGTTCCAGATGCGAGAAATACCTGAAGAGGAGCTTTCCCATAACATCATACTGGATGTTGATTGGACTCTCAGTGCTGGACACTGGGGGGAGGGATTTGGGGTGACTTTCAATGTGTAATCTTTGTATGTTTTGAATCAGATCTTTCCTTGCTTTCGTTACTATCGTTTCAAACTTAGTAAAAGTACCTCTTTTCTAATTCAAGGGAGTGGGTTTTTTTTTCCCTTGAGATTTGAATGGAGGCAGGCTTGACACAATGATAGAACTGTAAAACTTATTAATAATAGGATAGGAGTTTTGTTTAGTAAGAAAGTTATTGATTGTGTCTGCAACACTACTCACCATTAGGAAAATTACATACATTTTGCAAATGTCAATTATCAGGAATTTCAGGCAATTAACAAAGAAGCAGTAGGGAGCATCAACAAAAATCTTACATATTTTGCTTGATGGTTTATCATCATTCTTTGTTTCTCCACCACTCTATGAAATAGGCCTACTGCATCAATTCAAGAGTCCTTAAAGCTCCATTCACTCAATCCTTAAGGATGCCAAGAAAGCCTCACTGCTCAACTTCTCAACAGGAGACAAGACTAAAAGAATCCAAATCAGATCAAGGTCGGATATGCTCAAGTTTCATCAGAAGCTACGAGTCTTTAGTAAAGTTCATAACTGCTGGGACAGTGCCTGGCTCTGATGGCCTTTGTGACTTCTTTCTCTTATAATTCCTAGCTGCAAACTTTCTTAACTGACTTGTCTCATCTCTGACTGCTTCCCTTTCTGCTTCCTTCTAATACAATCCTCCCAATGAGTCTGCTTGTGAGTGTTTGAAACCGGGATTGAATTTACAACTTCAAGATAAGTGTGGCAGATTTGCTATAACCTTAACCTGGATAAGAATTGCTATTCATGAAGCCAAGACTTGAACACAGACGAACTTTCCCCCATTGAGACACAATGAGCAGCTGGTGCAGAAAACCATGCATTTAATAATATTATTCCTTGTCTATCTTTATCTTGCAACCGTTGGACTGTGGCTTGTTTAGAATCAGATTCCAGCTTTTCAGTTTCTGCACTCTAATGGCTTCACCTTACATTTCATTTGTGGATGCATCAAGTGAAGAGGAAGTGACACCCAAATCCTGAGAGATTAATTCCAAGGATTGCCATATAAAGAAAAATATAATTCCTTAATTTTTCCACGATCAATCTCACTCATACCCATGCAGCTGACTTCGATCTTGCAAAAACAAAATTAAAACCATTGCTCTCTGTATAATAAGTTTGAGAAAACAGTACTTACCTGGCAATAATATTGTTTCACAAAAAAAGAGAGACCAGATTAAATCATAATCATAAATTTATTTGTCAAGCATATATAAGATAACAGGTAACAGTATAAACATAATTTGAATACATGAAAAGAGTAAGTAAAAAGGAATATTAGGACAGGGACGGTAGGCACACTGGTGCACTTATGCACGCTCCTTACAGACCTCTTAGGAATGGGGTGAGATCAACAGTAGGCAGTCTAAGGTTAAAGTTTTGGGGGTTTAGGGAAGAAACTAAAGAGTCAGGTAGTGCATTCCGGGCATTGACCACTCTGTTACTGAAGTCATATTTTCTGCAATTGAATTTGGAACAGTTTACCTTAATTTGTATCTATTATTTGCTCATGTATTGTTGTGGTTGAAGCTGAAGTAGTCATTGACAGGAAGGACATTGTGGCAGATAATTTTATGTACTATGCTTAGGTCAGACTGAAGTCGGCGTAGTTCTAAATTGTCTAAGCCCAAAATTTGGAGTCTGGTGGCATAAGGTATTTTATTGAGGTTAGAGGAATGGAGGACTCTTCTCGTAAAATATCTCTGGATTCTCTCGATTGTATTTATGTCCGATTTGCAGTGCGGGTTCCAGACAGATGAGCTGTATTCAAGAACTGGTCTAGCAAATGTTTTGTATGCTCTAGTTAATAGTACAACATTACCAGAGAAGAAGCTACGCAAGATTAGGTTAACAACTCTTAATGCCTTTTTGGCAATGTTGTTACAATGGGCTCAGGCACTTAGATCTTTAGAAATGAGTACTCCATTCTTTTCAATGGTAAGTACTAATTTACTGCTATTGAATTTCACTTAAAGAAAAGGTTAGAATGAAACTTGGAGAACGCCAAAGGAAAAAAAAAAGAATCTTTATAAAACTATCCATGTTTCGTGTTGACCAGCGAGGTGACAAACATATTGAGCTGAGTGATTGACGGACAGCTGGATGACTTTGCAACAAATCTACAGATGGCCAGTTCTTCCAAAGCTTTTCAATTGACTCTCTTCTCTTCCTTCCTGCCTCTGTTCATTCACTGGCACTTATTTTTTGGTGATTATTACCAACTGATAAATCTCCTAACATCTCCATCTGCCTACAATAGCAATTGCTCCCATCCATTCTCTGAGAATGAAAAATAATGTGTCAACACTATTATTCAATGCATTAAGAATATATACTGTACTCACCAGATAAAGATGTTATTTCGGAACTCATTAGATGGATATGCAGAAGTATTTAGTGGTCTAATATCCTCCTTCATCACTGTGGCAAGAACATGGAAAAGTTAGGAGAAAAAACCAGATGGTAGCACAGCTTCTCGTTTTCTCTTGTCCTGGAGTTTGCATGTGTTGGAAGAAATATCCAAGTCCAGGTCCAAGCCGGGAGAAAGGTACTGGAAACAAAATGGAGGCTGGAGGCTGATTGGAAAGAGGGTCCATTTATTGATGAAGCAGAAGCACCAAGCGCGTGTGATTCTGGGCAGCTGACCACATGGAGTGGAGAATGGGTGGCTTTTATACCTTCTATTGGGCTTTGCACTTGAACTTCCTGTTCCTGTGCAAGAACATGTATTCTATTAACTGTTATAGGGGTCATAGCCGGTGCTGTCGGTTTTTTGAGCTCCCAGGTTTGGACTGCTGATGCAATGAAGGGGCATTGGGCAATTCCTGTTGTGGCTGAGGGCTAATCCTACCTTTGTTCAGACCTTGCTGCAAGGTATAATGGTTTACCAAATCTGCATTTCTAAAGTTGTCCCAACTCAGTATTTGCTTGGGAGGGCAGGGAGCTGGGGCTCTGAGTTTCTGTCTCCCTTAAGATTTTTTATTTCTCTTTTGGAGGAAATATTTTACCCTGCCTTTTTAAAATATTCCTCAAAATATTTCATTCTTCTAGGAAAAGGGTAGGTGCTAACTTTCTACACATGAATGAGACTTTGAGAACAATCAGTAGTTTTTAACTAGTGTTAGGGTGAATATTTTGCAATGTTCCATATTCCAGCTTTTCAGTTTCTGTTATTCAATTTGAGGAATAAGATTTGGCTTGTCTTTTTTTTTTTTCCAAATAAAAATATTTGAGGTAAATTCTGAGGTGGAGTGAGGTGTTCTTGTGCTAACCTCAACTTACGAAAGTAATTGGAAAAAGAAATTCTGTCACTAAGCAATGAGGTCCCTGCGGTCCCAATTAAAGATAAAATGCTCCAAGCTACAGACTGGGAATTAAATAGAAAGTTTACCATCCAAGCAACTTGGTTATCTCTGCTTTGCTCTGCTAACATTCTTCTCCAGTAATTTACAGTGAAATATAAAATCAGATATATTTGTAATTAAAATGAACAAATAAAAGCCTGCTGTCATATGTGTCCAGTACGAAACATGATGTCAGAAATATGAAGAAATGTGCATCACAACATCATAGAGGGTTGTCATGCTTGAACCCCAATGTTGAAGGCAAACATATAGGGTCTTTCTCAAAGCCAACATTTAAGTTAAACGTTTCCACTTGGTGGGAAGTACATTCTGAAAAACCAGGGCAGTGATGGACAAAGTAATAGCTGAACCAACAGTCCATATGTCAAGGTTCCAGCTAATGAACCCAACCAATTCAGCACTCCGAGACTTTCAGCTTTCTCAAAAAAACTGTTTTATTATCGTTTTGGCACAAATAAAAACAAAACCAGTTCTAAATATTTCCCGTGGTTTCAGTATAATTAAAGAATAGATAGTTCCCTCCCTCATGGTCACAGGTCACATTGTCCAATTAGGTGTTCTGGCATCTCCTTGGCAACTCCCCTCACTCTCTGGCCAGGACCTGTTGAGATGACCTTGGTTCCCATGGGATGGTCTGTTTTTGTCATCTGGGCTGACATTCCAGACTCCCCCCCTCCCACAAGGGGGGAATCTGAGTGGCAATCTGAGAAACAGAAAAATGGCTGCAGCAGGCCTTAACCATTTCAAAGTTGGCACCATATTATTTGGATAAACTGACTCTGCCTCCCTTGGCATTTATAAAAAGGTAGAGGTAAAGGTTCCCCTCACACATATGTGCTAGTCATTCCTGACTCTAGGGGGCAGTGTGCTCATCTCTGTTTCAAAGCCAAAGAGCCAGCGCTGACTGAAGACATCTCTGTGGTTATGTGGCCGGCATGACTAAACACCAAAGGTGCACGGAACGCTGTTACCTTGCCACCAAAGATGGCCGCTATTTTTTCTACTTGCATATAAATTTGATTAAATAAATAAATAAATAAATAAATAAATAAATAAATAAATAAATAAATAAATAAATAAATAAATAAATAAATAAAGTCAATAGAGAAACCAGATTCCCTTAACAACCATGTTTCTAACTTAACAACTTCAGTGATTCACTTTACAAGTGTGGCAAGAAAGGTCGTAAAATGGGGCAAAACTGACTTAACAAGTGTCTTGCTTGGCAAGAGAAATTTTGGGAACAATGGTGGCCATATGTCGAGGACTACCTGTATTTCTTTAACATTTCTTTAATTATTACTTTGGAACTTACGATTGTAAGGTAGTAACAGGGGTCGTCTTCAGTTATGCCTCCCTGGGTGTCCCTCCAATGCGTTTCCTGCGGCGTGAATAGCAACAGGAGAAGCCTTGTGTGTCCAATCACACTTGGTCAATAAAGAATATTCCAATTCCAAAGACCCCAGGCTCAAAATCGCAAAACATTGTATAAGTTAACACATAAGTCTTGAATAATGTAATGGTAATACTTAGACTACTATATCATAGCTATATAGCAGTGGTGGGATTCAAAATTTTTTATTACTGTGGGTGTGGCTTGGTGGGCATGACATGGCTTGGTGGGTGTGGCTTGTTTGGCATGGCAAGGGAAGGATACTGTAAAATCTCCATTCCCACCCCACTCCAGGGGAAGGATACTGCAAAATCCCCATTTCCTCCCAATCAGCTGAGACTCAGGAGGCAGAGAATAGACAGTGGCGGGGCCAGTCAGAGGTGGTATGTACTGGTTCTCTGAACTACTCAAAATTTCCGCTACCGGTTCTCCAGAACTGGTCAGAACCTGCTGAATACCATTTCTGCTATATAGGACTTTCTTTTCCAAAATGTGAACTTCTACCAGGGGTGCAATCTGCTGAAAAGAAAACTATCAATCACCTGGCCATTTCCTAGTATTCACCTGTTGCTGATTTGCTTCTCCTTTGAATGAATGAAAACATTTGATCAGGTTGAATCAGAATAGAGGGAAAAAATAGAAATCAGAAGAAAATTCTAATATTGGTTTCATCCTGCATTAAACAGAAAATCATCCAACAGTTAATTGACCCTCTTTCAACTGTGTCTTCCTTCAAAATATATTACACTTATAGCTGTCTAACCTGAATTGTTTGAAACCTCATTGTTATCCCATTAAAGGCTCACCTAGCAGCAAATGTAGTATGTTTCTTTTGCAAATGTTCCTCAGTAATCTTATTAATTATTACTCTCATAAAACACTGGTTAATTTTATCCCTTTACAAAAAA